TGTGTCTTGCTAATCACAGGGCAGTGTTGGTTTGGTGGGTAGGATGATGCGACTGAGCAAAACAACAGAGATGGACCATTTAGACTTGGGCTTTTCTTTGAGTCAAGAGCAGACAGAGGTACTTCATCCATTTTATTAAGAAAAATGATGTAATTGTACCTTCAACAGTGTATGGTAACAGCTGGTAGAACCATTGAACCAGGTGTGTTGGAGCAGAGAAACAACTAAAACATGCTGGATACCAGGACAGGATTGGGCCCCCCTGTAATAAATAGTGTAGATGTCTGTAATGGATCAGTAGATTTATGATTTTCTAGTTGTTAATCTATCACATTTATTTGTCTAAATAGACGTGTTTGTCTATGAAAATGAGCCTCATTTGAATTGAAGACAGAGAAGGTTGGAGAATGGTTGAATTTAAATGCATAGTCAGTCAGAGCACCCATTCCTACAGGAGCGAGACCCTTGAGGAAAAACTGATACGGTCGGTTTTCTTTATTTCCCATTTCTTGTTGCCCAAATAAAAGTACCGGTCTTCTTCATTCTTAACGTTGTACTTTCTGCCTTGTCTGAGCCATCTGAGAACCTCGCTGATGCAGGTATAGAAAAGAAAAGCATTTAGATAAACTTCACGGCCGAGACTAGAGAGAAAGGGACAAGATTCAGTCTGCCGCACTACATCCTTGGCTACAAGTTGGTAAACACCTGAGTACAATTTAGCAGCAATAAGGAAAAGGGATAATGTGACCTGACTTGACGTTTTCGTGCCAATAGGTACAACAGTCGTTGCTGGTTATTCTTCACTTTCATGAATGTCTGAATTCACATTATTCACACTTTTCTTTTGATAAATATGTGGTAGAATATAATTATCAAAATATTTTATTATCTAGATATTTTTGGGGCCAGTGATTAAAACACTACTAAGCCATGATGCGCCAGGGTCATCAACATTAACTCTCCTATTTGCTAATACGGCCACGAAGGAATGCTTGTTTCTGCGATTCCTGGGTAAAAAAAAGATGTCAGATATGAAAAAAATGGTCAGAGTCTTACAAGTGTTCATTTAGCAATGGACATTAAGGTTGTCCCAACACTAGCATGCTACTATAATTAGCCATCCATTTATTGATGGATATCAGGGGTAAGAGCTTCATTGAAAACCGAAGTAGATCCGCTGCTCCTCCACATTGAGAGGAGCCAGTTGAGGTGGCTCGGGCAACTGATTTAGATGCCTCCTGCATGCTTTTCTGGTGAGGTTTTCCAGGCACGTCCAACCAGGATGAGAGGGAGGCCTGGGCCTTTCTGCTTAGGCTGCTGCCCCTGCAACTAGTCTCCAGAGAAGCAAAAGTAAATGGAAAGATGTTAATTACAATTATCTTTTGTCTTCCAGATATGCTGATGATGTCCTCCTCACGCTACAATGGATCAGTTCTTCAGTCAGATCATTCTTATGGCAGTGCCTTCATGTCTGCATACTTGGCATGCCTTACCTCCAGACCTTCATCCATCATTTTCTCCTCTTATATTGCGCTCCACATCTCCCTTCACCTCCCTCTCTCTCTACTAATTATCTTCCGTATGTCTCAACAAACAAAACAATGTCCATTTCTCTCAGCAGCATTAATGAGTCACTCTGATTGCTTCACCTACCAGCTGGTAATCATGGAGCTGATTGGTATTATTGGTTTTTCTCTCAGTTTGTGTGGTATCTACATACAAATCTCAGAGAGGGTGTTATTTGCAGGCTCTCTTGTGTATTCCTTCACATGGTTTGGAGAAATATGCTTTCACATCCTCACATGCTTTGAACGCTACTTGGCTGTTGTGCATCCCATCACTTACCTGGGTCTGAAGAAAGAAAGAGGAATTCGAATCAGAAATGTTGTGATTGGGTGCGTCTGGCTGCTTTGCTGTTTAGGCATTGGTGTGATGCCAGTCAACATTTTCATCTTTGTAAATTTTAGTATTCTGTTTCTGTCCACCACTTTAGTCTCCTCCTTTAGCATTTCTGTTCTGATGGTTCTGATTCGAACGGGCCCGGGGGATAAGGGTAAGGGTAGGGAGAGGGTTGACCAATCAAAGCAGAAAGCCTTCTACATCATTGTGGTCATACTGGGAGTGCTGCTGCTGAGATTTACTTGGGGTCTATACTGGGCCATACTGAATGAGGCAGATGGAAGTACCAGTTGTGTTTTAATGACTGTTGATGTCTGGTTTAATCTACCCAGCACTTTAGTGCAACCACTGCTCTTTCTATTCAGAGTAGGAAAAACCACGAGCTGCAAGTAAATCGTCTACGGCAGTGTTTCCCAACCCTGGTCCTTAGAGCATACTGACCTGCATGTTTTCCATGTTGCCCTTTTAAACTCCAGTGTTTCCCTGCTGCCACACACCTGACCTAAATGAATGATTAGCAGGCATCTGCAGCTCCTGATGTTCGCCTGAGGAGCCCATGTAAATCAGATGTGCTGAAGCAGAGACGTGGAAAACATGTAGGACAGTTTGCCCTAAGGACCAGGGTTGGGAAAGATTGATCTAAAGCAGTGGTAACCCTGGGTCTGGAGAACTTTTATCCAGCATGTTTAAGTTGTATCCCTGCCTCAACACAAGTATGTTTATGTATTTAGCAGACGCTTTTGTCCAAAGCGACTTGCAAGTGCTAATCTTCATGTTGCCCTTGAGGCTAACAACAACAATAACAACAACTTGACATCAATCATGAGCCCTTTTCAGATTGACATTCCGGAATATGTGTGGACAATTCAGTCCGGTTTTTAACCAGAACTGTGTTTTAAGACACACCACTTTTGTACCCGAACTTGTCCTTTCAGCTGCCTTCACACAGCAGAGAAAAGTTCCAGATGTCTGGGGGGGGGGGGTCAGACTTATGTTAAGCATAATTCTGCGCACACGAAGACGCATAAGACCTGGATGGCGCTCAATGGTTAAAGGAATCACTGAAGCGGTGTGATGCGCTCCGTTGCGCGTCTAGACGGTACCGTAGGTGGCGAGCTGCCGTGGTTTGCCGCATGCTACAGGAGTGAGCTATCTAGGTGCGCACAGCGTCCTCCGGTCCCCTCCTCCTCCCCCTCCTCCCTGTCCAGAACTCGACCTCACCAGTCTGAAGCAGCCACCTTGTCCGTGACAAGTCCGGACCTGTTACTAGGGGCATCGTCCGGTTTAATTACGGAAAACGTTATCCGGAAGTTTGTATTCAGACACAAAGGTCTTACGGACAGAGTCCTGAACATTTCCGTTTTTCAAGGCCTGTCTGAAAGGGGGCTCTAGAGAGGAGGGAACAAAGGAGTGGACGGTAGAGAGGGGGGACGGGTGCAGGGAGGGTGCTAGTTTAGAAGATGCTCTCTGAAGAGCAGGGTCTTCAGGAGTTTCTTGAAAATTGAAAAGGAATCCGTTGTTCTGGTAGTGCTTGGTAGGTCATTCCACATTTGTGGAACGATGCATGAGAAGAGTCTGGATTGTCAAGTAGGGCGTCTGGACTTTCAAAAGGCGTCATCAAAATCCTTACCAAAATGGCAACCCCTCAGGTGCTCTTCATGATCACTCTGAGTTCTCTCTAAAGTTGTCTGAATTCCTGCTTTTTTTTCTTTGCTCATGAAGTAGCGGCAGGACGGCTTTTATGCTGCGCCCACAAGGTGCAAATAGTTCTGCCAATGTAGAGGCAGAGGGGTGTATGCAGAGGCATTGTAGACAGCCAGTCATCAGGTTTCACTGGTACAGCAGCATTTGCTTGTCTGATGGATAGGTGTAGCATTCATCCGAGTGGATGGGGCTGTAACAGTACCTCTTGGGAAAACTCTCAGCATTTGACCCAACCCAGAGGAGCAGCGAGGTGCTGGTTTTACAGCACTTGGCAGTGACGTTCAGGGTATAGTATTTTGTCCCAAGAACATCACCCACCCTGGTTATGCAAATATAATACATAGCCATGACCCATAGACACAGCTGCATTGTGGGGTGGAATCTATGGTTTTCTTTTAAATAGCCTCCACATTCAGTTGGACAGTGCTAGGCTGAATCAAAGCAACAACTAATGTGACTATTTCATCACTACGGATATCGGTCCACAGGGCAGTCTGCTACACAAAGAAGTAGCAAATATCCTTCCATGAAAAAAAGAACTTAAGTAAATCTATCTGCTCATGTTTCCAAAAAAAGCCTCAAATCATCCAAAGTTTCAAATGAGACATTTTTCTTCATAGTAGCTCTGATGCTAATTTCTCTACAAACATAGAGCACTGGGATTTGCCTGTCATAAAATTGTTTTGGTCAATGCTAGACCTGCTGAGGCTGCAGTGGAACGTGGTTAGACCGACCAGCAAAGCAACGCCTTTTGCTACTGCTAGATTTCTAGGCTACAAGAATATTTTGTGGCCTGCTGAGGCCTGGAACTGAGCCCTCCCCCTGATTCAGCCACTTTAGTCCACATTTCAATTAGACCACCAAAACAAAATGCTGACGGTATGATGCTTTGTGGCCAAAGCATGAGGTCAGCATGGGCAGTCCTATATCATTTAAGCATTGGTACTCCATGATGAATGTACCACCACCGTGCTCCCTCACGATGGATGATGATGCCATTTCTCTCTATAACCTTCAGGACTTTTTAGAAGGCAGCTGGATTGTAACATAACTAGAAACGCAGTTCTTCTATGTTCTATGTTCTTTTCCTCTGCAATTTCTGTCTCTATAAACAATGTTACTATCACATTTTGAACCTTTAACATGCATTATTGCCTAATTAAATGTTTATATACATACATATATATACATACATATATATATATATAACACAATGTTCAATGAAGCACAGAGCAGTTTTAGAAGCTTGGTTTAACAACTATAAACAAACTATACCTGATTTGTTGGGTTAATAAAGCTTTTCGATGCTGATGCATTTTGTTCATTTATGTGATTTTCTTAAAATGTGTGTGAAAATAAATTTAAATGTAAATTTTGAACTTATGCACGTATTATATTTGTGCTGATAAAATATGGGTGAATAAATAAATTCACAATTGACTTTTCTGCAGTTTTACTGCAGTTTCTTGAACATGCCAAATGTGTTTCTTTATAGTAAAGTATAGTGTAACAAATATATGTATAAATATGTGTATAAATGGATGGATGGACAGAGATGGACAAATTAAGCTAGATATTTGTTACATTTCCAATATGAAAAAGAATTGGAGGTCAACTTCACTGAAAAAAAACATTTTTGTTTATTAGTCAATGGCTTGTATTTGTATCGCGCCTTCTTAAGGTTCTGCAACCCCTCAAGGCACTTCACAACACAATTATTTACCCATTCATACACACATTCACTGGCTGGTGGGGATGAGCTATGATGTAGCCACAGCTGCGCTAAACTTTATTGTACTTATCCTAGTGAATCTGTAATTAAACGGGTAAACTAGTAGTAGCACATTCAATATCAAAAAAGTGTTATTATCAGAGGGAGAATGATGAAGTGGTTAGCAACAGTGTTCAAGCCGATGGCCCCCTCCACGAGGCTACCACAGCTCAGCAGAACACCAGTGTAGCATCTTCTGGGGTGAAAAACACTTAGAGAAAAAATAAAGTTAACAGCTGAAATAGCAGCTGTTTTAATTGGGAAGTAAATCCCGTTTTAATAAACTCATTATTTATCATTTCTGGCATATTCTGGCAAATCAGAATGTGCCACGTCTGGAAGGCGATGTCATGGGTGATTCTGCAGGTTGAGTGCTTTGCAATCTTGTTTCTGGTTTTATTGTATTTCTGGTACTTCCTGTTTTATTTTGTGCATTCACTTCCTGTCTCATTACAGGCAGCGTCACGACATGAGGCTCCTCACTAATCTGCCTCATGTCTTGCACCTGGGTCCCGGCTTCTCCATTTTAGCGACTTTGCAACAGTTTCCTTTGCCAGTTTGTCTTCTCCCGTCGTGTGATGTGAACCTGCTCTCAGAAACACTTGGTAAAAGTGTATTCAGTTAGATTTGGACTTTTCAGTTGTGTTGTACTCCAGGAATGCCTTCTGCTGATTAAAACTGTGTGAGCTCTGCATTTGAGTCCTCTTTGTGCTTTGATAGTCTTTACCAAAACATTCCTCAGAAAGCCTCGCCTTCTTGCAGATGCAAAGATGTTTTTAACCTCCACCTGTATCTTATTGCAATGCGTATGAGTGTAAACAATGATTAACTTGTTAAATCAAACACATACTGATTTGTGATATAAATGGATCATTGTAAGAACAATATTCATTTTAAATTAATTGATTTAAGCACAGGTTATTCAATCATTTCATTTAAACATCTCGTTCATTCATCACACGTGATTATTGTAAGCTTATGAGTTGTAAAAGTCATGGAGTCTTCGCTTGTTCAGAGTGAAGAACGTTGATGTCTGGCGTTCATGCAGAGAGTGTAGGACTTTGGGAAAGAATGTTTGTCTGGATGTTTTGTCTTCATGGAATGTTAACACACGCTGAACAGAACCGTCTGGTTCGGGAAGGCCAAATAGAAAGTGGATATATGCTGTAGATGAAAAGTTATTATGTTGATCAATATGTAGGTGAACATTGACCCTTTTGGACGTTACAGCTGTAAGGGTCATGGACTCTAACCCTAACCGTTCAGATGTCATCCCAACAAAAGAATGTTCCTAATCAAGCATTAGTCCATAGACTATTGAGCCATTTATCCCAATCATAAAAGAAAGTAAAATGTGGCATTCAGTTTCTGCTTTCTGGACTAAAGCTTGGTTTATGCTTGACGCATTCACTTTCTGCGCGGTGATGCGGCTCGCGGATGGAACGCGCTTCACAACTTGCAGCGTTTATGGTTTGTGCGGCTTGTCTCTGCGGTGAGCCAATATTCTCCCAAACTGTAGGGGGCAGCATGGAGCTCTACAGCAAGCATCCAACACTACACCATAGTAGAAGTAGAAATTACTGTTTACAACATGGCATTTCAGCATTTTTAACAGCGTCCTCGACTTTTCCGACAGTGCGAGCTATTTCTCTCCAAGAATTATTAACAACATGTTGATCACGGTGATCTCTGAAAGCTGAATCATACAAATGTCTGCATTTACGAACCTCTGCCGTAGTAGTTCTTGCCGGTCCGCCATGTTTTTCCGCGTCCGACCGTCCGCGTGGTTAGAAATTTTCCGAGGTGCGCGTTGCGGAAATCTTGGGCCGTGCGGAGACGCGGTGGAGGGGCGTGGTTGTTAAAATGACGCAAAATGACACAACTTTTCCGCGCGGAGCCGTGCGGACCTCGCGGACGGGTCAAGCACAAACCAACCTTTAAGGTTCTGTCTTCAGCAGACAATGTGTTGTTTGTGTTTTGCTGCCATCTCCTGGTTACTTTGTGATCCAACACAACAACAACTAGGGCCTCAGATCAGTTCTAGGTTCAGCAATTCAAAAGAATTTCCATAAATTTGGATATTTTTGTGCATTTATCTTCTGACAGCTTGTACAAAATGTGTCAGTTTAATTAGACTGCTGGAAATTAGTGTTCGATGCTTCTCAGTAAAAATGGGATCGCTGATAGCGTCTATGTGAAATGATCGTTAATCTAACCCTGACCCTCAGTACTGTTCTCCCACGACACCAATTTTCCTGCTCGTTGCAGAAAAAGCAAAGGTAGGACCAAGTTGCTGGGCAGATTGAACAAAACTTCACACGTCATCACTACACAGTTACTGTACGCTCGTACAGTATTAAAGATCCAAGCCACGCTCCAAGCCAACCGCAGAAGTAGCACTAGTAATACGGCCACTATGGTGTAGAAAGCCCTCTGCTTTGATTGGACAACTCTTTCCTTCCGTGTCCCCTGCTCCCCCTGGCCAGAACGAGTCAGAGCACTAATAACTGACAAGCTGCAGAAAGGGGTGATGGTTGTGGTCAAAATTATGACAAGCGAATCCATTATTATGTAATTGTCCTTTACTGCCAAACCCAACCCTGAAAAACTCAACAGCCACACACAGCCAACAACGACGTTTCTGATCCTGATCCCTCTGGTTTGTCTCAGCATCAGGTAGGTGACGGGATGAACCACAGCCAGGTAGTGCTCCACACAGGTCAGGATGTGGAAGAATCCCTGTCCATACCAGGTAAAAGAAAACAGGGTGCTCCCAGCTTTTACAAATTTGATGCCATTCCCGTAGATTCCACCGAAGGTGATGATGCAGCCAAGGACACCAGCCAGCTCCATGAGGACCAGGTGGTAGGTGAAGCAGTCAGAGTGACTCAGTGTTGAGGAGTTGGAGCGTTTTTTCCTCCACTGCTGAAGACCAAAGAAGAGGATGAAGATGAAGAGAGGGAGGAAGAGGAAGACCTCGATGGCAATGAACACGGTGTAAATGATGGAGCTGGGTCTGGTGATGAGGCACTCGGCGTATGAGTGGACTGGGTTTGGACCAAGAAAGGAGGCATTTGATGTTGAAGTGTTTTCCATCAGACCTGGAAGAGAAGACGTCAACAGGTTAGCTGTGAGCATCTAAGGCTCCTTCCCCACTCCAGTAAACAAACCTATCTCATCTTCATCCTAGTGAGACTAAAAAGTATTTGGCGCTCTCCAAATGTGAAAGTCGTCCCACTTGCTATGCAGTCACGTATTTATTTGTTGAGATATGCGATTGTTTGTTTTGCACTATCCTACAGGGTACTACTGTAGATCATTTTTCACTGTATATATTGTATATCATATTTCTATTTCACCTGTTCCTTTGTCTCTCCTTCTGCTTTGAGCATGTACATGACACAAGAATTTCCCTCGGGATAAATAAAGTTGTTGTTATCTTATTTTATCTTAAAGCTTCTTTCCGGAGTATTTCTCTTATCCGATGGCACCATCTAGTGGCTGACAAGCATATCACACAAAAAAGTCTATTCCTCTATTTAAGATGGCAACTTCACGCTCCTGTTTACAAATGTGCTTCTTAGCCAACAAACGGAGCTAAAACACGCTGTTTTATGAGTAGTATTCTCATGTCATTTTGTGGTTTCATATATTTATATTTTAGAGACTTTCTTGTCCGTGAAAAGTTCATCAACTCTGCATCAGCCGAGGTATTCCTTAAATTTGAAGCATCCAAGCAGTAGTCTAACGCTATTGGTTAGTTCTGGTCGGCGCTCTGTTTCCTATTGCACGGAGTTCCGCGGGGCGGGGGCGTGCTTAGCAAAAAAATAAATAAATAAAAAGATAATCACTTTTACAGATTTCTGAAAAAAATCATACATCATTTCTGAAAGGGGAAAACTCCGGAAAGCAGCTTTAAAACGATGGGTCGTCTGTAATTTTCATCGCTTCAACCGTGAACAACAGAATATTTAAAAAATCCAGTAAATCACACAGTATGATTTTCAAATATTTTCCTTTCATTCTATAATGTTAATATTTAGCTCCTACACAAATTCTGGCCTTGAAAGGCCTGTTCTGTTTAAGAAACTCCTCTATCCTCCACTCATCTTCTGTAATAATGACACCTGTTTGAACGTGTTATTCATATAAAAGACACCTGTCGTAGTGATGGGTAGATGAGGCCTCCTGACGCGTTTTGACACATTACCCAAACTGTACCCACCTTGTGCCACCATGGTGCTCTACTGACACCTGCTGGATCCTAACCATTAATGCAGGCATCTGACTGATTCATTGACTTATACATAAATTTATTTAAGTAATTGTATTCAATAATGTACACTAACTTATTTATTATCTTAATCCAAATGTAGAATATCTGTGATACAAAAATATACAATAAGATAAATTATGTGACTGTGTCAGAATTAGTGAAAAAGTGAAACTGTTGTGAACCGTCTTGTCTTTGAGGCAGGCTGTTACCTCATTATTATTTATGTTTCATATGTTTCTCTGTGATAACTCAGCATTGATGCATCATGATCGAGTTCACATGAACAAATGCAACATTTAACCTGCAGAAAATGACATGAAAGACTTCAAAAGAGTCATTTCGAAAGAAAGTTGTCTTTCTGGCTCCTTGTCGTTGTTCTTGTGGCAGAAACTCGTCCTGCTGACAGAGGGAGACGCTCCTCCATTCAAACACAATCCAGCACTCCTAAACCGACGCAGGGTGTTGCTCTGTGAGCTAGATACATGTGTCGACGCGTCAGTGTTGCTGGACCCATCACTAATTGTTAGACTCCAACCCCCACCATGGCCAGGACTATCAACATCTGCACAAGACTGGGATGAGCCGATCTGCAATAAACATTTGATGAGAAGAGATAAAGTGCTGCAGCAATTGTTAGAAACTAGATTAAACACAAGAACACTGACAATAACCCTCGACCTGAAGCTCCATGTGCTCAAAAGGTCCCCCTGCTAAAGCTAGCACGTGTTCAGGTCTGTCTGAAGTCAGCTAGAAACCATCTATGATCCAAAGAAGGACTGGGAGGACATGATGGTTAGATGGGACTTAAAAATATCTCTTTGGTATAAAAGCCACTCACCATGTCTGGAGGGAGATGCATGCTGAGTGTGCATCCTAAGAATCTCACTCTGAAGCACGGGGGTGGAAACATTATGCTGCTTTTCTGCAAAGGAGACAGGACGACTGATCCGTATTCAGCTAAAGATGAATGGGAACGTGTATTGTGAGATTTATGGTAAAAGCGCTGAAGATGAAACGTGGCTGGGTCTTTCAGTATGACACCACCTGGGCGACGAAGGAGTGGCTTCGTCAGAAGCAGTTCTAGGTTCTGGAGCGGCCTGGCCAGACCTCAGTCCAAACAGAATCTGTGTAGGAGTTGAAAGTCTGTGTTGCCCAGCAACAACCCCCAAGCATCCCAGCTCTAGAGCGGATCTAGATCTAAAAGACCAGTTACAGTGTATGATAACCCGATGAAGACCTACATGAAACGTTTGACCTCTGTCATCAACAACCAACAATACATTAACTCGTGTTCATAACCTTTGTTATTGATCAAAAACCAATTTACAAATAATTAGAAGGTGTTAGAAAAGCCTGATTCCCACAGAACCCGGTCATCATTGGCGGTTAAGACGACGGATCGTGTTGGTCTTTTGTTGTTCTTAAAACCTGCGTGAATTCATTTCAGTCATTTTCTCTTGATTTACCGGTCGATCTATGTCCCAATCCTCACCTATGGTCATGAGCTTTGGGTAATGACCGAAAGAACGAGATCGCGGATACAAGCGGCCGAAATGAGTTTCCTCCGTAGGGTGGCCGGGCTCAGCCTTAGGGATAGGGTGAGGAGCTCGGACATTCGGGAGGGACTCGGAGTAGAACCGCTGCTCCTCCGGATCGAAAGGAGTCAGTTGAGGTGGTTTGGGCATCTGGTCAGGATGCCTCCTGGACACCTCCCTGGGGAGGTGTTTCAGGCATGTCCTGCCGGCAGGAGGCCCCCGGGTCGACGCAGGACACGTTGGAGAGGTTACATCTCCAATCTGGTCCGGGAACGCCTTGGGGTCCTGCCGGAGGAGCTGTTGGAGAAGGCCGGGGAGAAGACGGTCTGGAGCTCCCTAGTTGGGATGCTGCCCCCGCGACCCGGACCCGGATAAGCGGAGGAAGACAACGACAGCATTTTCTTTTTTGATTTAGTGCAATTAGCAGATCTTGCTCTTGTTTTGATTTAGTTCTGTCTTCTGTTTGATCCATACGTGTGTGTGGGACCACGGATGGACACTAGCTCCTTGCTAACTGCAGCATGTTTACACATTATAATGCTCACTAACATGCTCGGTCCCATTCAGATAAATTAAATCCAGTCTGCTAAATGCATCTGTGATCTCCTAGACAGTCTGGAACAGTTACAGCTTACCTATGATATCAAGGATTTTCTTAAATGGGACAAGCAGCTGCCAGCTACTTTTTACCGTAAAACTGGATTGTGATGTTTGAATCTCTGCAAATCCTGTCCACAGGTTAGATCCCAGAAGTAAAGGTAAAACGTTCTCACCTATGATCTTCTTCTTCCTGATGTTCCTAACAGAGAACTTGGTGCAGCTGTTTAGGTCTGTAGACGTTCTAAATGTAGAATGGGAAGCGGAGCTTTCAGTTCTCGGGCTCGTCTGAGTGAGACAGACACCCTGTCTACTTGCAAGACCTTTCCTTTGTGGTCAGGGTTTGCTTGGGTTCTCCTGGCTCATCCCTTTAGTTACACTGCTATAGGATTAGAGTGCTGGAGGATGCATTAACGATATTCCCTCACTCTCTTTACCCTCCATGTTTGTATGTCTTGCTGCTGCTCTCATGAACTTTGACCTCTAGAAAAAGGACCGGTCCTGTCCTTCTTAGTTTGTCTGCTTCCTGTCCTGTCAGACGGCCTGCTGGGAAGACGTGTGTCATGAACGAGCGCTTAAATAAATAAATCATATTCTTGTTTAGCTCACGTAAAGGTTCACCTTGCTAAAACAGCTGATATTTCGCATCATCGTTTCTACTTTCAACATTTTCAACATTTTAACGTGCAAAGTTATAAATTGTTCTTTTACTCAGAAC